TGCGAACGGGTGTTATCGTGGAGCAGGATTGGACCTCTTTTGTTGTTGCCGACGCAGATTTTGGTACATTTCGACATTTCCTCACTATAGAACTTTGATGTGATAGTTTGGCCCGTTAGCAGATATTTATAATGAATCACACCAGCGGCTGACCACCATAGAGTTACCATGGTCTTTTTTGGTGGGTTTTTGCCTTTGAAAAGTGCCTTGGTAGCTCATTTTGTATACAAACATCAGCCTGCGATGAAATGATTCTCACTTCTCATGGAAACACCCCCGTTTCTTCCGTAATATTCGAGGTAGAACGATGAAACTTTCTGGACTGATGACAATGCTCAAAATGCACCTACCACCTGAATGGGGTTGGCCAAAGTGATATACACTGTACGCCACTCGCGATGGAGCACCCCATTTTTACGGTAAAACATATTAGGGGGCAAAATAGGCTAAAAATTCCTCCAGATTCGTGATCAGGACTACCAAATGGTGGATGAGGCAGAACTTCTTCGACCACCAATTCGTTTCAATGGGACGGTGATTTGTGAAATGTGCGAACGGGTGTTGTCGTGGAGCAGGATTGGACCTCTTTTGTTGACCAGTGCTAGCTGCTGCCGACGCAGATTTTGGTACATTTCGACGATTTCCTCACTATAGAATTTTGATGTGATAGTTTGTCCCGTTAGCAGAAATTTGTAATGAATCACACCAGCCGCTGACCACCATAGAGTTACCATGGTCTTTTTTGGTGGGTTTTTGCCTTTGGAAAGTGCCTTGGTAGCTCATTTTGTATACAAACATCAGCCTGCAATGAAATGATTGTCACTTCTCATGGAAACACCCCCGTATCTGCCGTAATATTCGAGGTAGAACAATGAAACTTCCTGGACTGATGGAAATGCTCAAAATGCACCTACCATCTGAATGGGGTTGGCCAAAGTGATACACACTGTACGCCACTCGCGATGGAACACCCCATTTTTACGGTAAAACATATTAGGGGGCAAAATAGGCTAAACATTCCTTCAGATTCGTGATCAGGACTACCAAATTACTACGATTACACTTTTTTGCTGGAAAAATTTCAGTCCTGAAAAATCCGAATTTGTCTCACTTCTTATGGAAACACCCCCGTATCTTCCGTAATATTTGAGGTGAAACGCTGAAACTCTCAGGACTGATGGAACTGCTCAAAATGCACCTACCACCTCAATGGGGTTGGCCAAATTGATATACACTGTCCGCCACTCGCGATGGAACACACCATTTTTACGGTAAAACATATTAGGGGGCAAAATGGCCAAATTCCTTTAGCTTCGTGATCAGAACTACCAACTTACTACGATTACATTTTTTTCCTGAAAAAATTTCAGTCCTGAAAAATCCGAATTTGTCTCACCCGTATTACCTCCGTATCTTCTGTAATATTCGAGGTGGAACGATTAAACACTCAGGACTGATGAAAGCTCAAAATGCACCTACCACCTGAATGGGGTTGGCCGCCACTCCGCCACTCGCGATGGAGCAACCCATTTTTAAGTAAAACATATTACGGCGCAAAATAGTTCACTTCCAATACCTGAACCCCTTCATTCTATTTGGTTGGTTGTCCTGATCACGAATCTGAAGGAATTTTGAGCCTATTTTGCCCCCTAATATGGGGGAGGAGGTGTTTCCATAAGAAGTGAGACAAATTCGGAGTTTTCAGGACTGACATTTGTTCAGGAAAAAAGTGTATTCGTAGTTAGTTGGTAGTCCTGATCACGAATCTGAAGGAATTTTGAGCCCATTTTACCGTAAAAATGGGGTGTTCCATCGCGAGTGGCGGACAGTGTATATCACTTTGGCCAACCCCATTCAGGTGGTAGGTGCATTTTGAGCATTTCCATCAGTCCAGAGAGTTTCATCGTTCCACCTCGAATATTACGGAAGATACGGGGGTGTGTTTATGAGAAGTGAGACACACTGTATATGATCTGAAGCCGTTATAGTACATGAACTTTTTGAGTTGATTCATATGAGATTTTGAGAGTTGAATGTTTTTCGAACGAAAACCTAAGCTCATAAGTCCCACTGTTTGATATAATTCAGTGTCATCGTGATATAAGCAGGGGAAGTAGTTGGTCAATTGCTGTCATTCGCCAAAACCTTTTATGTTAGATAACTGGGAGATGTGAATATTTCGAATTGATTTTGATTTCTGTTGAATAATAATATTACACAGACAAAATAAAAATTGTCAATTGGGTAACAGTATCAATTTTTCCTTAAGAAAACAATTGTTTTCTTGCTGACATTTCGAATTTAATTGAATTCTTCTTCAAGGCACTGTAACAATAAATTTTCATTAACATACCTACCACAAAACATACGATTGTTATCGTTTCAATTTCACAAGAAATAATGAGTTCTTGATTAAATTACTCACCGAAAAGTACTTTTTTCGTGTTGATAATATTATTATTTCGAAAACCATCAGACATATTCGATACATATTCAAAAAAAAAAAAATATTGCAACAATCAAATTTCCAACACAAAACCAACATCAACACAAAACGACATGAAACAAACGAATGTCTTCATCTGTGATTCTGATAAGTGGGTGTCTGTTGGCGGAAAGAAAAAAAAAAAAAGGGGGAAATTATTAAGGTATTCTACTTATCAAATTGAAATATGCAGTATTGAGGCCATCGATATCTCTTCTAGTTTTAACACTATCGCATTTGAGGATATGTATCATTTCGTATGGGTGACAAACAATTACCCATTCCCATTGGTGTCATGGCAGAACTAAAAAATATGCGCATTAAAAAGTTGTCATTTTCATTGCCTTTTTTCAAAAGATATGTTGACGATATTGTTACTTTCATTCCAAAAAATGAACGAACAGAAATATCAGACTTTTTTTTAGTTTTCATCCAAAACTAAAATTCACTCTAGAAATGAAAGAGAACAATTCTTTAGCATTTTTTGATACTGAAATAATCAAAGATGCAAACTGAGTTTTACAGGTAAACTGTTATCATAAACCAACTTTTTCTGAGAGATTTTCAAATTATTTTTCAAAACTCAATTTTCATAGTAAAATCAACATTGTAAGGAATTTGAAATCAAGAACAATTGCCATTTCCAATTCTGAATTCCATAATAAAAATCTTCAATTAATTGAGAATTACCTAGTAAAAAATAATTTTCCTAGAGCCCTTATTAGAAAAATAATTAAAAAAAGAAATTTCTCCTCCCAAAATAAAAGGGTGAAACCCAATTATTACAATATTCCATTTGTAGAAAATTCATTTGATAAATTTGGATTGCTACTCAGTACCGAACAAATTAAAGTGGCCTTTTCAAATAAAAATACAGTTGGAAAGCATTTTTTCTCGAAACAAAAAACAAAAACATCACAAGAAATACAATCCAATATAGCGTAGAAATTGAAGTGTGAAAGCTGTCACAAATGATTTGTTGGTCAAATCGGATGGTATCTTAAAACACGAGTTTCAGATCACATGAGAGAGTCTAAGAAATTGAATATAAAAACCCCACAGCTCTAGTTGAAAATGTGAAATAATATGGACAGATTTTTGATTTTGATCATTCCACTATTCTAGATGTTCAACCATATTTATCCGGAAGACTTTTGAGCGAAATAATACATATTCTCGAATGTGATAGTGTTAATAGTAGAAGAGATGTCGATGGCCTCAATACGGCATATTTCAATTTGATATGTGAAATATTTCAATAATTTTTCCTTTTTCCATTCTTTTTCTTTCCGTCATTGATTAAAAAACAGACACCACTTATCAGAATCACAGATGAAGCCATTCGTTTGTTTCATGTCGTTTTGTGTTGATGTTGTATCGGAAATTTGGATGTTGCAATGTTTTTTCTATTTTTTTTCAATATGCATCTAATATGTCTGATGGTTTTTGGAGTAGGTAGTAATAGTTTCAATGCAAAAAAACTACTTTTTGATGGGTAATTTACTTAAGAACATATTATTTCTTGTGAAATTGGAACGATAATAATCGTTTAAGTTTTGTGGAAGTTATGCTTATAAAAATTCATTGTTACAGAGTCCTGAAGAAGAATTCATTCAAAATCGAAACGTTGGCATAGAAACAATTGTTTTTTAAGGAAAAATTGATCCCGTTACCCAACCAAGCTTTTTTCAGAAAAATGATTGGATCACTTAACTAGTTAACAGAGTTAATAGCGTTTCCCTACTAGGTATCTGAAAATATAAATATATCACATCCAAAATTACTTCAAAATATTTCCCAAACTGTCATTTTGACGAGTATTTGACTGTCGGTTTCTGGTACAGGTATGAATATTGGTCAAACAGTATTTCCAAGAACATTTTTGACAGCATTGCATTACTTTATTTGTTGCTTTGTTAAACTTTCACAAAAAATCAGTATTTTGTTGTTAATTCATTTTTATAGCATCGCTAGATAAAATTTCTCACATAAATTCTACATGAAAGCATAACATAAATACTATAAAGTTCTACTTACACGTTCTATTCTACATTTTCAAAATTCTAAAAGGCGTCAATTGCATCTATTTTCTACGAAATTGTTACAATTGTAGGAGAGCACCCATTTGAATTGGAATTGAGTTTTGAGTTTCTAAAAATGAAGTGATCAGACGAAAGTCATCATTACATATAATAGCAAAGATGAAAGTATCGAGTAGAAAATACTATCACGACGTTTGCCAATACCAGGAAAAATCATTCCGTTATCAATTGATTCACGTATGCTCTTGAAAGACAATTGTAACAAAATTCTTAATAATGCACTTGACACCCTGTAGAACTACAACCGAAGACGATACCAAAAACACCAGTTTTCGAAAACAGAATACCCTTGCAAAATCGAGCTAGAGCTACTTTGGCCTCGGATAGATAAAGTTAAATAAAAGCGTGTGTTTGTGTCTGGGTGTCAAGTGTATTATGGAAGCTTCACTTTGAAATATCCGAATTGAAATTACCTTCATATATAGGAGGAGGGGTATTCAGTTTCGATACGAAATTGTAGGTCTCAGTTTCAATTTCAGTTTCAGTTTGACTTTCAATTTCAGTTTCTGTTTCATATCTTGTTTCGGGAAAGTCAACAACTATATCTAAAAAGTATAGGTCTATTGTAGAAAGTATTTTTCGGGAAGTTCAACTGAAAGGATAAGAGAGGAAATTCTGAATCATCCACTAAGCACTCAATTTTCACATCCACCGTGGAAATCGAAGTTCTAATGGAACACCCAAACACAAAGATGTCTTCGTTTCTCTCCTTCCAATTTTCTTCCAGTCACAAATATCATACCGTTCACCTTGCTTCACTTTCGAAATAAGACTTTATACTCTTTGGCAGACATTCATTTCAATTTATTTTCCTCACTCAATAATAGACAGTGATAGATAATACGTATCTAATTTCATGGTAAGAATAATTTTTTCAAAAACAATATGCGTTCAGGTTGATAGAATTGAAAGTAATTAAAAACATTTTCATGAGTTTTCATCGGAAACTTACTGAAACCAAAATCAATTTGATCAATATACTCATGGGTTGAGAAGTCCCGAGCCTGAGAAAGGAAACTCGTTTAGTTTTTGTTCAAAATTCGCTTCATTCATCAATTCAAACTCTACAGTGCCGCTCTAAAATGTATATACCACTTTTGTATAACAATCTACCTTTCGCCTCAACAAAGGCCTCAGTTTCAGTAATAACCTCTTTATTGGAGCGATTTCCATACCGGTGAGCGTTATTTTGAGGTCCACGAGCAGTCAGTGGTCACTGGGAGCCCACTCTGGCGAATATTGTATATGAGGGGGCAACTTGAAGCCCATTTCATACAATGTTGCCATAGTTTTCATTGATTTGTGACATTGTGTATTGTCTTTATGAAACAGCACCTTATTTTCCTTCAAATAGGGTCACTTTTCTGCAATTCCAGTCTTCAAATGCTCTCATAACCTTACATAATATTCACTGTTGACGGTATTTCCCTTCTCAAGACAATGAATATCACACCACGCTCATTCCAAAATACCAAGGCTATAACCTTCCAGTCGATTATTGTGCTTTGAGGCGCTTTGGAAGAGGTTCACCAGTTGGTCTCCACTCAGATGACGTTTGTTTTGATTCCAAAGTGAAGTGATGGATCCATGTTTCATCTGTTGTCATGAATCGAATCAAAAATTCAAGTTTGTGTTCAAACATGGTCAGGCACTGCTCAGAATCATCAAGACCTTCTTGTTTTTGGTCAACAGTGAGCTCACGCGGCACCCACTTTGAGCAGATTTTTCTCATAGACAAATGCTCATGCAATATGAAGCCAAACACATTATTTTGATACCTTTCAATGTCAGCTAACTCACACAACTTTACTTTTTGATCATTCAAAACGATTTTGTAGATTTTTTTATATCTTTTGGTGTTGCTGCCTCATTTGGACGTCCACTGCGTTCTGCATCATCGGTGTCTCTACGACCACGTGGGAAGTCACCTGATGGAGCCGAAGTCTTTTGAACACTTTTCGAGCCTTGCTTGAAAAGTGTTGCTTTGCTTGAACGGTATTTTTTTCCCATCAAAAGGCAATGTAAAATTCAAACAAGACATTGTTTTTGATCCATTGTTTTGAGTAGAATATAATGAAATTTCGATAGTTTTTTTTTGAAGGTTAGTACTAACAGTGAATGCAATGAGACTAACGCCATCTATGTGTTAGGCCCGAGACTTTTCAGCCCAGGTAGCAGAATCTGACTTTTCTGACTCGATAACAAATGTTCTACGAGTTGAATTATCTCCACTTTCTCATTTAGTTTTTCATCTGATAGCATTATTCTGGATGAGACAGATTGATTACAACTCGTATAAGTTTTGTTTTTGCTTCAGCAAAAGTGTTCCGTAGTTGAATCAAAATGCTTGAAACATCAACACTTAATTTTGGTAATATCTAAATTCGCTCCAACAGAATAACTTCAAATGTTGTAAATCTTTCAATGCTATGATTAAAACATGCTCCCAATTCAAGTTCATTCACGCAAAATTCAAATAGACAATTGTTCCTCATTGTTACAAAACCGAAACTCTCCATTAAACGGAATGCTTCCGCCTTTCTAGGATGAATCATTATTAAAGGGTTTGGTAAACGGCAAAAGTACCATCGAGAACTTAGTGAAGAACTATAAGGTTTGTTTGAAGGTGACTGACAATGTTTCATGATGAATGTCACTAGTTCGGACTTCCATTGTCTACTATATAAAATGATTTGAAATCCTTGAAACGACTAAAAAAGAAAAATTAAAAATGGATAGCTGAAAATAACAATTATATTAAGCAAAATAAACCTGAAATGAAATAATAGTGACATAAAATACAAGTAAAAATAGAACAATTGAATAAATGAAAAAAATCAAATGAAGAAATGAGAAAAGGAAAAAGAAAATAAAAATAAAAAGTGGAATGATTCCTAGTAACGTTAGTTCACGACGTTACGATTGTTAGTATCTACAATCGTCTTCGGGTGATGACTGGTTGATGGTGGTTGGATTCGTGGTTCAGATACTGTCCCGTATGGGAATACTGAACTAGACGCCTTCCTGAAACACATCAAGAGCGTGAGACCTTCCATCACTTTCACAATGGAGAAGGAAATCCACAACGAATTGCCATTCTTAGACGTTTTGGTGAAGAGGACCGACACTAAGTGGGAAACATATGTATACCGAAAACCCACTTATGCGGGACAGTATCTGAACCACGAATCCAACCACCATCAATCGACTAAAAGAGGACAGGGATTTCAAATCATTTTATATAGTAGACAATGGAAGTCCGAACTAGTGAAATTCAACTATAAGGTTTCTCCTGGTCCAGTTACTGGCAGCGGTAAAAAGCGAAATGAACAAGTAACATAATTTGGAATTATATGACTGTTCTGAAGTGTGATTTTTGAGTTGATGAATGAAGTGGGTATTCAACTATTTGTGTCACTCAGTATAGAACTCAGAAGTGATATTTCAAGGATGGTGGGAATATAAACATTACTCCAATAAAGTCTAAAGGAAACTGTAGAAACAACAATAAGAAAGTAGAATAGGAAAAAAATATGCCAAAATGAAACACTCAAGAAAATAAAAGCCATAAGATGTAGATACATCAACTGTAGCAGAAATAAAGTACACAACATTTTTCTCTAGTGAAATGAATGAAATGAAAAAACAGACGACGACGACAAGAATTGATAATATTTCGATATTCGGGAATGTATCAGGATACATTCGTCCACAGAACTATGGAAGTTATAACAATAGAGAAGTGAAATTTAAGAGGTTGAAGAAGTGCAAAAAATGCAGATTTTCATCGTGAAAGTGGGAGAACGAATTGAATAATTTTGAAAAACGGATAGGAGATATCAAGATTTCAGGCAAGATCTACAGAACAGACTTCCCAGAGACTACGGCTTAGCGTGTCGCAAGTGAAAAACAGTTCATTCATCGGCAGCAATAAAAAACAACATAATTTTGTTTAGATTGAAAGGGGTATATTTTTGGAATATATCGCGTTTCGAGATTTTTGAATGGAAAGATTTCAGCTCTCAATTCCACAATTTTCATACAAACTGAAAAAAAAAGCCCATCCGAAACAACTACTCTCATGCAAACAATGAATAACACGAAAAAAGAAAGTTTTCGAAACAACCACACTTTCATAAAAACATCAAATCATAAAAAACATATTTTTCGTTCCGTATAATTGATTGTTTATATGAAAGTAGTTATTTTGATAGGGTTTTCTCTTTCAGTTTTTGTCTGAAAGTTACTGTGTTGCAATGTCTACACATCGTTGTGAAGAGTTTATTCTGGAGCGATCTATTACTTCCTTTCTTTGGAAGATTCTCACATTTTTTGTTAGTACATGGAGAGGGAAACAGCCGAAACCTTTTTATTCACAAACAAAATTAAGTATTGAAGCACCAAAAACATATTTTCAAACATCTTAACAAGGGATATAGCTATGAATTCCCTATTGAATGTTTTCCTGAAATTGTATTAACAATCTACAGATCGACATGGTTTCTCTGGTATTCAAAGTAATGAATATGGATCTCCGCAGATGAAGAAAATTCGAGAAATGTGCATTTTTTTTTCAGCAAAATAACCAAATGCTTTGTGGATGTCTTTTCTAGCGATCAGTGATTGTGTTTTCCTGTTGATTTCGCATACTCTGTTGTGAAATATTTTTTCCACATTCAATCTATTCATGTATCCGTATTCACAAACATCAAACAAAATAATCACGATTCTCATAATCCACGTACTCTATATTAACATTCTTATAACGAAATCTTTCAAAAAACATTTTCCTTGTCAGATGTTACCTTCAGTAGTTGTTTCTCTAGGTGGATTGTATGGATTAAAAGGTACAGAGTTTCTGAACGTGGACAACTTCGGTGTATTTCTTTCTGCAAATCAAAACAAATTAAATTTTCGAGAGATAATTGAATATTTTCTAGCTGAATCCTGGAATATGAAACTGACAGGAGTATGTATAACTCTTTTGAATGTGCTTCTTCACACTTTGTAAAATAGGTGAGTAGCAACATTGTTCAGATAAATTCGAAGTTGCAAATTGATTACTGATGTCAAAGGTATCGACGTGGTCGTTATTACTCAAAAAATATTGTCATCATTTTCAATTCTAAGTTATGGATATATCAACACATGAAGGCTAATAAAAAAGTTAGTGGAAATTAAAACAAAAAACAAAAGAAATGAATTTCAGTCACGTACATAAACTGAACCATTTCTACGATTCCTGAAAATGAAAAAAGTATAATGAGAGCATGATCATAATGAAAAAACTGATGTCGGAACAAACACTCCTTTATACAGTCCATTTCTTTAATGCCCTCCCCCCTTTCATTTTCTGAACGGGTCAACTCAAAAAATTGACATTTGGGATAACGAAACTAATGCATGAATACTTTATTTTGGAGCGAAATTGACAGATGAAACTTTCAAGATGGCGATTGGGCAGCATCTGGGAAAAAATTAAATGGAAAGGGGGTTCAGGTAACACATCTTTTTGAAGCTCCTGACAAATGCTTTACAACCCCAGGATATAATTTCAATATCTTCACCTACTACAAAATGGCGGAACTTTTAATAATTGCCTGTATACACTGACATTTAACTACATAATGTGAGGTAATAAGCTCGAGGTTAGTTCAGAAGATGGTCAAAATGGTTGCCTTGAACTTCTTGACATATGAACAGCCCATCCGATATTTCACGCCGAACATTTTCGAACACAGTAACGTCAATATCTAAACAAATATTTATTATTCTCTGCCGTATATCCAATATTGAAGCAGGTTCAGTTTCGTACACCTTCTGCTTCAAATAGCCCCATAAAAAATCCAAAGCTGTCGAATCTGGCGAGCGTTAATTTTTTCTGGATATTGGGTATGTGTTTCCCGGAAAACGTGTCGGTTGGTGTCACTCCAATAACGGCAATTTTGTCTGTGAACATTGCCATTTAAAAAAATGTAACTAAAACAAATATTGTGGAGATAGGTGGATGCCTTGCAATGGGATCCGTCATGATTTCGCAGAATTCTGTTCTTCGATCAGGGCCATCTTCAGTTAATTGGTGTACCATTTTAATTTTGTATGGATGATATCTTTTCCTCTTCAAAAGTCTCCACACAGTAGAAGGAGACACCTCACAAACATTCGCGACGAATACGATGAAAAAACATTTTCCTGAACTTTTTTTTGTGATGAAAGATATAACATCGAAATGTGGAATTGAAACTTTTGAAGTAGAATCAGTCCAAAGAAAACATTTTAGAAACACACCAGAAATGTGGCTATTTTCAAACATTTGTTTTTGTCAACGTAACATAAGACGATCAAATTCATCATCATGAAAATAGTGCACTCGAGATTCGATGAAGTCGACTCAGGCCGTTTTTGCCTAGTCCTGATTGTCACACTCGACCAAATGAATCCAGCTTCTTAACGGAGACGATAAGTTTGTATGGTGAGTGGTCTTTCAGGTCAGATGGTTATAGTACGGTCTGCCGAACTCTGAAAACGTGATTCGGTCCCCAGCGGGGCTGGCACAAATTATATGCTGTGCTGTTTCATCATTATTGAGGTAGTCAGATAGTCGAGGTGCAATATTCCCACCTTGATACCCGTGAGAACCTTCCCATATGACGGTTTTTGCACGTCAGCTACCCCTGACGATGCCTTAGATTCAACCTTTTTTTTTTTAGGTTCAGTTATTGGATCAGGAGTTGAGAAGCTCTCGCTCCTGAACTAAATTTACAGAGAGGTGAGTCGTAAACTCGACATCCATCTCCTCTGTAGACTCGCTCCTGATCTAAATTTATAGGGAGGTCATATGGAGTCGTGAGCTCAACATCCATCTCCTCTGTAGACTCAGCGTCAGAAAGAATTTTCAAGTTTACTCTGTCTATAAAAGTCCCAAGAGTAGCTAGAGAGGGAAGGTCAATCACGGCAGCGACCCGCATTACCGTGGCAAGGCGATGCTACGACGAGAGGGCGCCCGGTATTTCGAAGGTTCCGAAAAGACAGCTGATAGGCTCAGGGTCATTCATCCTCCCGGCACGGATACACACACCTCAGGATTGAGCCATCATGGAGATGCCATTCATTGAGGGAATAACAGAACCAAAAGTGATTCTGTCATTCCCGTATCCAGCGGGGCTGCGTGGAAGCAGGCATCCGATGGCCGGTTTGCTCAACCCCCACATCCCAAGCCAATGCACTCGCCAAAAACAGAAGGCACAGTGGTTTACGCAGTGAAATATGGGAGTCGGATGGCCAAAGGTGTGGGGAGTATGGTGGGTGGGTGGGGCATAACTTCGACAAGAGGACCAGTATCGGACCTCTTTTGTTTACCAGTGCCGACGCTGCTGACTCAATTTTCAGTATACACCACAAAATAGTAGAATGAATATTCATTGAGATATGGGGCTACAAAAACACATGACATTAAAACTGACAAAACGTTTGAATCAACCTAATATAACATATTTATGAAAGTTCAGAATGTTATGTGTATATATGTATGAGATATCACAATAGTCACCATCACCTACAAGAAACAAGAATTTGTTTACACTTTTTTCTTAGGATTTTTCAATTTGTCTTGGGCAGAGATACAATAATGGATAAAATATCGATAACACAGCAGAACATGACAGGTGTCACAGTTAATAAATTCAAATCAAATCAAATCAAAATATGCTAGTCTAGTCTAGTAACGTTAAACGTGTATCTGGGACATTGCATTAACAAATACAAGCTATTAAATAATGTTTAGAGAAGAGAGGAGCGTATATGGACAGATTAATATTGAACAGATAAAGTACATGAATAAATCAATATTGACTATATGTGAATATATAATGCTACGTAATGTACATAGATAGCCATTTCGTTGATTGAAGTACGGTAAATTTCGGTGTCCCTACTTTCTAGAAAGTAGGTTGAACAAATAAGTAGTATTGAGCATTCATTTTAGAACGAAATGAAACAAATTTGCTCATCCATATATTCCAAAAGAGTGTTGAGACTGTTCATGTAATAAACAATCGCTGTATGAAAACAAGGATAGTCCTCTTTGAAATAGAAACATTTCAGCAAATTATGAATATTGCCTAAACGATGAATATGCAAAATGACTCCATTCAGCAATGATGAAACATAGTAGTGAGGTAGTGAGAAATAAATATTCTGCGGTGACAATTGGAAAATGAAAACGAAAACAATATTCTACAATAACTCAAATGACCATCCATAATTATAGTAACGGAAAAACCATTGAAAGGATACTTCAGAGAGTTGGAACCTCAAACCAAAAATAAGTAGAAAATATAGTTCAATTCGATTGAAATATGTTGCGAATATGTAATAAAAAATTATATTGGATAGTGACGGCATGAAGAATAAAATTCATTTCAATAAACGTATGAATCAAAACAAAAACTTTCATAATTCACTCACCTTCAACTATCAACGTGAATACTTTTTTCACGTCCATATTGTTCGAAAGACTGCATGTGTAGTTCCCTGTATGCTCAACTTTGGAATTATTGAATTTCAACAGTTTCCCTACGGCAGTGTCTTGTACTGAGGGTTGTGTGTTTGCCCGAAGAGGCCCTTTTGGTCCTCTCCATGTGACTAACTGCCCCCCTTCGTCTTTACATACAACGGCCATCGATTCACCCACATTTAGGACAGATTTTGGGCGCGAAACATATAAACTGGAAGCAGCGATATCTGAAAAGGAGAAGGTTTTGAAAAAATATGAAGTTTAGATGAAACTAGAGGCCAAAAACAAAGCATCCATTATTCAACAATAAACATCACTGTTTCAACTCATCAAAGTTTCATCAGTGGTTTAAGGTTGAACCACAAATGTTTTTCTGGGCTCAATTGGCAACTATTAAGTTTATCAATATTGATGTAAATTATATTGATTTCACTCAATATGCTAAGGCCACCCAGATCTCCAGATTTGACACTTATTCCATGGAGGTGGTTGAAATCGAAAGTCTACAAAAGAAGTTACCAGGTGCTGGGTAAGTTCGTGGTGCTCAGTTCGAACATTTGATAAAATTTCTATATTTAGTTTCACCCAACAATTCTTCATTGAATGCAAATTCGAAAAAGTATTCCATTTGGAACAGTGTTGAGTATTGAATTGAAAGATCTTTCTGGTGGAGTATCATCCAACTATCCTTTTTTATTTTGATATATGAGTTGTTATGAAGAAGGTGTGTCTGACAAAGGGGTTAGGTGGCCCGGGGGTGGGTCGGATATTGAAATGGGAGTGCCACCATTACCAAAAACGAATTAGGAAGTTGGCTACTAACTACGCCGATATCCAGGCCGAATACCAACGTGTCTGATTAAGTGTTGGAAGTAATAGGAAAAAACAACTTTATAAAAAAAAATCAAGTATGAAATAACTTGAGAGAGAAAACAAAAAGAAGTAGAGTATTGTGTAAAGCAAGATTTCTGTGCTTAGTAGACAACGTTCTCATTGAAAAGAGAAAGAAAGATGGTCAACGAAAGAAAGTTGTGACCATTAATTGAAGCAGACATGCAAATGAGTACTAATTCGTCAGAGGAAGTGGAGGTAATAGACCGGGATCCCGTGACAGAAATTTTAACCCCATTTTTTACCATCTGCCTTTTTCATACGACATATTTAGAGCCACAAGCAACAGTATTATGCGTTGACCGAATTTTTTTTCCATGTAACACTTGCTTAAATATTAACTTCAGTTTGCATTAAAAAAAAGCTTCTTTGACCACCACTGTACCGTCTGCCATTCATGCGACCGAAAGGCTAGGTTACGCAACCCACAAAAAATAATTGGCAGACGGTTACATGGTGTTCTGACTAAAACATGAATTTTTTATTTAACCAAAAAATGGTTAACCAAAATCAATTTTTCACCGTCTGCCAAGCACAGCGCAGACTAACAGTAGCATGAAATGAACGAATGTTCACAAGGCAGACGGTTTGCCGGTGTATTGATAATTTATAGGCATTAGTCAATTAACAATTTTTTACAGTGTCTCTGAACCAGTTTTTACCGTCTGTCTCTTGAATGTAATGAAGTTCCATAATTAAAATGTCCTGCGACAACTGTTAGCAGACAAATTGGGAATGTTTTAAGTATAGGTAGAAGCAAATGAACTTGCAAAATAAATAATAACCACCATTTCACCGTCTGTCATTGTTTCCTTACAATATATATGATTATTAAGTAAACGAATTATCAATTGGCAGACGAATTGACCGTGTTCATACAACTGAAAAAAATATTTTTCAATTTGTTGAAAAAAAGTAATAAATTTGATCAAAGTCTTACCGTCAGCCATTGTTTCCTTGCGATATATATGATTATAAACTAGACTAATTATCAATTGGCTGACGAATTAACTGTATTTATACAACTGAAAAATTATTTTTAATTTTCAAAAAAAACCTGAAAAGTTTGACCAACGTTTCACCGTCTGCCATTGTTTCCTTGCAAAATATATTTATTGAATAGACGAACTGTCAATTGGCAGACGAATAGACTGTGTTTAGACGAGAGTGGTAGACAATTTTTTATGACACAAGTGTCAATTTCACTTCATAAGAGATTTCCAACAATTTCAGTGGAGAACACCCTAAAACGACACAACTTCTGTTACCATTTTTTTCAACAGTTGTTTTGATGACGTGAGAATGAATAATGATGAATGTACAAGATTTAGAAATACATAAACAATATTTGTATTCCAATATCGACATGAAAACTAAATAACTTTCATCTCATTCAATGGTTTCTTGAGAAATATTCAAATCAACGCTAACGTGGCTCGTTATACTGCCTTCTGAATCATCATCATCATCATCATTAGTTGAGCAAATTCAGTAGGATCTACAGCAGAAAATAAGGTAGCAATCTAACAATCAATTTTCGTGATACAATTTGAGGAATGTGAAAAAAATTCAAAATTATTTAAACGATACGTGAACATGTGCTACTACATTTATTTAATTTCGATTAATTAAATAAGGTAGTATTTTCGATATTTTCATGCTGAATTTTCACTTCATTGAGTTCTCATAATGTCCTAACTACTGACGTACCTGCAGATGTTGATATAATTTTCTTGAACGTTTTCAGGCGTATCAGGTCCTTCCAACCAGTTAAATGTGTACTGTCCATTATCATTGTGACACCAGCCATGAATTGATGTGTCTAATTGAGATGGAATTTTTTCAAAAGAATTGGTCCACATGTTTGATATATATGCTGTTCTTTAAATTTGTTGCTGTAACTCTCTGGCACATGGTGGCAGATTGGATGCGTCAAACGATGTAACTTGTTTCTTGAAAGACTCCATGTCATCTATCACTCCGTAATGTCTTTCAAATATTCGAACTCTCGCTTCATTCTTGAGGCTTTGGATAAGTTATTTTTGGTTGGTGCATACATACGGCACACAAATTCTTCGATTATATTATTGGTGCAGTGTCGGCACCCAAAGAAGGATTCGCCAAGTCTACAAAAGCTTTTTCAAACTTTTTGTTGCCCATTAAAATCGTAAAGGTTTTTTTTTAACTTTTTTGTAAAAATCTGGTGTAAAATAACAGCCGGTTAAAGTATGGAATGCAGGCAAACCAGCGCAAAGCTGAAAGCCAAGAGCCCGGCCGATATATGTGGCATTTATGAATCTGCAATTGTTTCCAAAACCAAATTGTGAAGTATCATCGACACTTGTGTCATCACAAATAGTCTACCACTCTCGTCTAAACACGGTCGATTTTTCTGCCAATTGACAGTTTGTCTACTCAATAATTATATACTGCAAGGAAACAACGGCAGACGGTAAAACATTGATCAAAGTTATTACTTTTTTTCTGCAAATTGAATAATATTTTTCAGTTGTATAAGCACAATCTATTCGTCTGCCGATTGACAATTTGTCTACCTGATAATAATATATATTGCAAGGAAGCAATAGCAGACGGTAAAATGTCGGTAAAATTCATTACGTTTTTTAACAAATTGAAAAATAATTTTCAGTTGTATGAACACGGTCTATTCGTCTGCCATTAATTTTTTCCTTGTATTTTTAATACTGAAGTTTATATCTCACCAAGTTTTATACGGTAAAAAATGGTTCATAGATACAGCAAAAAAATTGGTAATTAACTAATGCCTATAAATTATTAATACATCAGCAAACCGTCTGCCTTGTGAAAATTCGTCCTTTTAATGCTACTGTTAGTCTACGCTGTGCTTGGTAGATAGTGAAAAATTGATTTTAGTTAACCATTTTTTTGGTTAAATGGAAAATTCATGCTTTGGCCAGAACACCATGTAACCGTCTGCCAATTATTTTTTTGTGGGTTGCGTAACCTAGCCTTCCGGTCACATGAATGGCAGACGGTAAAATGGTGATCAAAGAAGCTTTTTTTTATGCAAACTAGAGTTGATGTTTAAGCATGTGTAACATGAAAAAAAAATTCGTTCAACGCATAATACTGTTGCTTGCGGCTGTAAATATGTCACGGGCACCTGGTCTATATCCAACTATCTACTTTTTCTATAACGTTAACCCACCCCAACATAAAGTAACTTTGTAGAAAATATCATATCAAACTCATTAAGTGTTTTCAAGTAATATTTCATTGTCGATATCTGTGAGAGTATGCAGAAGAATCCAAGACAGTCGATTTCGCGTCGCTCACAAGAACTTGGCCTTTCGCAGACCATAACTTGGCGGATTTTGCGTCGTGACTTATTCCTGCACCCGCACAAATTTCAAGTGACCCAGAAACTGAAGGTTAACGACCATAGACAACTATGTGTGTTCGCTGAATGGGCTTTGGAGCAGGGTCACTGGAGCAAGTGACCCTTTGTTTTCATCGAAAAGTCATTTTCAGCGATGAGGTCCATTTCTGGATGAAAGGATACGTGAACAAACAAAATTGTGGAATTTGGGACGATACCAATTCATATGAAATTCAAGAGCGTCCAATGCAACCCGAAGAAGTCACTTTTTGGTGTAGATTATGGGCTGTGGGCGCCATCGGTCCATATTTCTTCGAGAATAACGTTGGCCAGGTCATCACTGTCAACGGCAAGCACTATAGGTTGATGAATACCAACTTCTTCTGGCCTGAATTGGATGATCTGGACAAAAACGACACGTGGTTTCAACAGTATGGCGCTATGTGCCACACAGCTCATGACGCTACTTTGCAGGAGCGATTCTAGCGCATGGTCATTTCACGTGGGGGTGATGTGAACTGGCCACCGAAATCGTGCGATTTGACCCCGTTGGAATTTCTCTTGTGGGGTTTTCTTAAGTCGCAGGTGTATGAAAATAAGCCACAAACCACAGTGGTCCTCAAAGCCAACATAACCCATGCCATCGGTCAAATTCAGACTAGTTCATGCGCCAGAGCTGCCTTTCGATTCATCAAAACCACCATCCTTTTATCGAATCATTAAAAGAGAAGTTGAGAGACCGAGCACGTCATGTTGACACAGTAAAGTCCGTTCCTTCCTAATTCAATAAAACATTTCATATCATCTGTTGTGCGTGCCATAAATTCTAAAACATAATATGTGGCTTGATATTTCTGGAAGTTCCGCACATAATAGTATTGCTTTTCTTGTATCCGTATGATATACGAAGCACTGACCTGTCGAAACGCGGGTGTAATATATCAGTTTTGGAAATTCTGTTAGAGAATGAAGGTT